GGTCACTGCGACCATGCGCATCGCGGCAGAGAACAAGTTGAACAGCAGCGGGGCCAGGTTGCACCCCTGTCGGAGACCTTGGCCGACGTCAAACCATTCCGAGTACTGCCCGTCGTCCGTTCGAACCCGCGCCCTCATGCCCTCGTGGAAGTGTGACCACAGGTTGGTGTAAACGGCACTAGTGCCGTGAGCGCTGATTTGAAGTGAAGACAAAAAAAAAAAAAAAAAAATCCCCACTGCTGTTCAACATCTTCTTCGCCGAGGTCCTCGGGGTCGCTGTCATCCGATTCAGCAAGGATGATTGATGTTGTTCTGCGGAGCCTGGTGTGCTTGGAGGAGGGGAAGACGGAAGCGGGGGGGGGGAGGAGACACCCCTTGACCAAGTTCGGAGGGCAGTATGGGGGATGCTGTATGCTGATGATGCCGACGTCGTATCGAGGTCTGCAGAAGGACGGGCGAGAATGATTGTTGTTGTTGTCTGTTGTTTTTCTTAAGATTAAACTCGTGTCAGTTGCTAATCCCAAAATCTAGCGAAGACTCGGTCCGTGGTCACAAAAATGCTAGAGCCATCAGAAGATCTAAAGAACACACACACTATTAGCAAGAAAAGGGTACACAAGCCCGAGGAGGTATACCTACAATCAATCCCTGCAGCACGTTTGCGTGCTGACAACTGAACTACACGCCTACACACTACAATTCGACTACAGCAGCAGCATCACCCCCCTTCCTTGTCGCGCATTTAACCAAAATGAATGTTGTGTCGACTACAGCGTACTGCTGTTTGAAGTGCTGTCTGTACCATAAGAACACCATGGTGCATGGTACACAAGCTCGGGGCATGCAGCTGCTGTCTCAAGTGCTGTCAGAATGAGTCTGTCTGTGGACATACAATGACGAAGAGCACCCAACCAGAGCCATCATTGCAATTGACGATCACCCGAATCTATCCAGATCATCTGTGTTAGGCACAGCAGCGTAAACATCGACATTGACTAGGAATCGCTCCACATTATTGATTGACGGGGTCTTCCACGATGCAGGTACACAATTGAGGCACCCGGGTTATCCGCGCCATCTCGGCCGCGTCTCTCCACAAAACCAGTGACGTCATCACACACACCCAACACCTGTGTTCAGGAAAAAAACGGACGCTATGATTCCATTATTAATCTGTCTATGACTCTTTTCTATGATAGAGGTGGACTCGTTGTGTCATATTCAGAAAAATAAAAAAAATAATTGACAACACAAGGGATGTTTGTCTGTGCCACGGTTCGATGCCGTCCGCATGCTCCGGTTCCACTGCTCCGGTGCCGCTGGTCCGGTGCCGCTGGTCCGGTGCCGCTGGTCCGGTGCCGTTGCTCCGATGCCGCTGTGGCTAGTCCTAGCACGACCAAACTCGACCCGCTCCGCTTCGTAAACGCTCTCGTTGCTGTCCTTCACAGTCGGTTCCTCGCTTTCTCCCGCGTTGCACTTAGTTAGGGTTCTTGGTCTGGAAATTCTCGCGCCGAAGGGTCAACCAGCCCAATCAGCTCGTCACCACCTGTCCCCTCCTCCTTTGATGGCAAAACCAGGTTACTGAGACAGTACAGCTCCCTCTAGCAAACCTAGGGCCGTGTACATAGTGCCCGTCCACCTTTCTGATGACGTCTGCCTCCGCGCACAATGATGAGTTTTGCATTGCTGTCTACACCGACGGCCTGGAGGCCCGCGCAGCTGCACCTTTGCACCTGACGCACCAGTGCCGACCCAACTCCACCACTACGCACGCCTCGCGGCGGGTGTGCACCAGCAAGAAGGTATCGGTCCCTTGAGGGTGAGTCTAGCCTTGCTTGCTAGAAAGACCTCCCCCTCGCTCTGGGTCATGCCTACGCAAAACCTTCCCGAGGCAGCGAGGGGAAGAAGGGGAAGTTAGTTGAAGTTGAAGAATGATGAACATCATCGTTGAGGTGTTCGGGGAGTTCGGGCTGACGGTGTCGGAGAAGAAGACGGAGACGCTCCTGATGAGCGCGAAGGACAAGCCGACTGCAACATCACAGCCCCCTCCGCCTCCACCGCTGACCATCGAAGCCGCGGGACAGAACTACGCCCAGACGACCGAGTTCTGGGACCTTGGTGGCCTGGTCAACGAACATGGCGACCTCACCCGGGAATTCAACTACAAGAAGAGCAGAGGAGCGTGGGCGTGCCTCAGGCGATATGGCCGGGAGCTCTTCGACAGACCGAAAGCGCCATTCCAACTCAAGAACCGCCTGCTCCAGGCGGAGGCGATGGAGGTGCTGCTGTACGGCTGCATGACATGGTCACCCCTCAGCGGCCACTATCAGACGCTGCGGTCGATACCCACCCACCACTGCTCCTTCGAGTTATCGGGTAGAAGCGCAAGAAAGGCACCTGCCGGCAGCTCTCTTACGCGGAGACGCTGAAGAGGGTCGAATGCCAGAGCGTTGAAGCCATGATCCGACANCAACTCAAGAACCGCCTGCTCCAGGCGGAGGCGATGGAGGTGCTGCTGTACGGCTGCATGACATGGTCACCCCTCAGCGGCCACTATCAGACGCTGCGGTCGATACCCACCCACCACTGCTCCTTCGAGTTATCGGGTAGAAGCGCAAGAAAGGCACCTGCCGGCAGCTCTCTTACGCGCAGACGCTGAAGAGGGTCGAATGCCAGAGCGTTGAAGCCATGATCCGACAACGAAGCCTACTGTTCGCGGGAGAATTATTTGGCAAGGCAGCCGGACGGGCGACTCCCGAAACGACTTATCTATGCTCGGCGAACTGGCAGGGGGGGAGAAGCGACGTAGGGGGGGACAGGAACAGAACTGGCCGAAGTGTGTGAGTGCTCGACGACCTGAAGGCATTCGGGGCCGACCACGGATCTACGAAAACCGATCCATGTTGTCTCGGAATCCCGGTACCGAAAGACACGGCACCGAAGGTAAAGTGGACGGAGCCGCGAAGGTGGAGGGGGGAGTACCCTCGCATGCGGCGGTGCTGCAGGGAGCTGAAAGAAAGGTTCATGACCTCCTGGCACGAGAAAGAAGAAGAGGCCAGCCGACAACGGGCGCTCAAACGAAACCACAAGCCAACAACCAATGAGTCCGGAGGGGGGCAGGAGACGGACGAGACGGCGAGGGAAGAAAGCAAACGAGAAGAGACGGACCGAGTGGCGCGATACGTGCCGGATTGAATTTCTTTTAGCCAGTTCCTCCCCCCCCAACGCTGCACCATTACACCAACCCCCCACTAGCGATGACGTACCATAACAATGTATCCCTGGTTGGTGGCCATGTTTGCGTGTTTGCTTGTTCGTTAGTGGTCTCTCCACTCTGTGCCTTATAGGGGTATTATCAACGACAAAAAATCACGGAACATTTCACGGAATCTTTTTTTTTTCTTGAACATAGACTATATGGAGGAGGCGTTTTTCCCCGAAAACGTCAAAAAAGGAGCCGGGATTTTTTGGGGCTTGGTACTTTCTTCACGGATCCGTGCTTTGACGGCGTCCAGTCCGTTCTTGGTCCAAAACTAGATATTGCATGGTGCTCTCGTCTTCAACTGCTGCTGCTGTTGTTGTTGGTGCTGTTTTTTTTTTTTAATCACACGTAGCAAACACGGAAACAGCAGTAGTAGTATTATAGAACGATTACAGCAGCAGCAGCAGTAAGACCTCCAACGCGCTGATTCCTTCGGTTCGGCTGTCTATATGATACCATCTCCCGGCGCCGCGTGCTGCTTCTTCGTGGTTATTGGGTGCTTGGGTGCTGCTCAATAATGAGGTGAGTGAGAGACGTGTGCCACCTCACCAAAATGCCGTTGTTTGAAAAAATGCGGCGAGATGATCTGTTGTTGTTGTTCTTGGTCGGACTCGTCAACATCAATCCACAGCACCACGCAGCAGAAGAGCAACAGGGCCTCCGACACGCTGATTCTTTCGGATTGGCCATCTATATCATGCTGGCCGTCAGCGCGGCTGCTGCCCTATTATGATTGTTGAGCTCGCCTACCTTTGGTAAGGTGGTGGTCAAAGATGTGGGAGTCGCAACCGTGAAAAATGAGCTAAATAGCAAACTGAAGAAATCGCAAGCAACACCTATTATTAGGGTTGTTGTTGTTGTCTTCACATTAACGTATGTCAGTTGCTAAATGCCAAAATCTACAAAAGACTCTCAGCCCGTGGTCACGAAAGTGCTGGAGCCATCTGAGGATCTAAAGAACACGCACACATATAACGAGAAAGAGGTATCGAAGAGCTCGAAGAGGTACACCTGAAAATCCCTGCAGCACCGTATGCATGCGTGCCCAAAAACTGAACTGCACGTCCGTCCCACCGTTCGACTACAGTAGCATCACCCCCTCCCTGTCCCACTCTATACCAAAACGGAAGATTGCCGACTACAGCATA